GGTGCCCCGGCCCCCCCAGGCCGCGGGTCCCCCGCTCACCCGGGCAGGCCCGGTGGAAGCAGGGCCGCTCCTGCTCGCGGGGCCCGCGGCAGCCCCGCAGCAGCCCCGGGCGGCGCTGGTGACACCCCCGGGCGCGGCGCTGCCCCCCGGGCCCGCAGGGGCGGCTGCAGGACCCCCAGGGCCCCCAGGGCCCCCAGAGGCCGCAGCCCCGCTCGTCCCCAGCCGAGGCGCAGTCCCGCAGCCCGTCACACACCTGCGGGGACACCGCGGCTGGAGGGGACACTGCGGGGACATGGCGGGGACACCGGGGAAGTCGGGGACACCGGGAGGGAGCTGGGGGACACTGAAGTGGCACTGAAAGGGGTCATGGGACACCAGGACACCGGGGTGACGCCAGGACACCTAGGTGACACAGGGAGGGAGCTGGGGGACACTGAAGTGGCACTGAAAGGGGTCATGGGACACCAGGACACCGAGGTGACACCGGCAGGGGGTGAGGGGAGCCAGGGACACCGGGAGGGGGGGTCGAGGGGGCGTCGGGAGGGGCCGGGAGGCAGCGGGGATGGCGCTGGGAGGGAGTCGGGGACATCGCGGGAATGACCGAGGGACCATGGGGGTGACACCGGGAGGGGCAGGGGACACCTGGGTGTCCCTGGAAAGGGATCGGGACCCGCGGTGGTCCGGGCGGGTGGCGGACCCCCGGCCCCGGTACCTGATGGAAGGTGACACATTCCCCGTCCCCGCAGTCGAACTCTGCGCAGGGACTCCGCGGGCTGCTCCCGGGCCCGGGGGGCTCTGGGGGGGTACGAGGGCTCTCAGGGGTCCCCAGGGGACTGAGGGGGCTCAGGGGGTCCCGCGGGTCGGGGCGTGTGGCCCTCTCCCGTGGGACCCCCTCCCTGCCGAGTTTCTCGTTCCCTCCCGGGAGGCGACACGGGGGGCACTCCCAGACCGCCCCCCGCAGATGTCCCCAGAGACGGCTCCCGGGGTCTCACCGCAGAGCCGGGGGCTCTCGTCGGCGCTGTCGCGACAGTCGGGGACGCCGTCGCAGAGGCGGCCCGGGGGGACGCAGGCGGGGGCGCAGGGGCCGCGCCCGGGCTCGCAGGGGGGGTCGCAGGGCAGGTGGCCGGGGGCGCACGGCGGGTCGCAGCCTCCCTCGTCGCTGCCATCGGGACAGTCGCTGTCGCCATCGCAGCGCCACCCCCGCGGGACGCACCCGCCGCTGTCGCAGCGCAGGGACCGGGGCGGACAGGGCGCTGCCGGGGCGGTGACAGCGGCGGTGACAGCGGCAGGGACAGCGGCGGTGACAGCAGCGGTGTCGGGGGCGGCGTCGGCGATAGCGTCAGTGTCACTGACAGTGACAGTGCTGGCGACAGTGCCGATGGCGCTGGTGACCGCGATGGCAGTGTCGGCTGTGACAGCGGTGACAGCGTCGGCGACGATGCCAGTGACAGCGGTGACAGTGGCGGTGACAGCGGTGACAGCGGTGACAGGTGACAGCGGCGCGGGGGGCAGCGCCACCGCGCACCCCGCCGGACTCTCGTCCCAGCCGTCGCGACAGTCGCGAGCGCCGTCGCACACGGCCACCTCCGGCACGCAGGAGCCGTCGGGGCAGGGGACCGTCCCGGGGGCGCAGGTGGCCCGCGCTGGGGACACGGGGACAGCGGTGACACCGCCGCCGCGGGGGAGCGGTGTCCAAAGGGGGGGAGGGGGTCCCGGGGGGGCTCCTGGGTGAGGATGTCACGGGGTGAGGTCCCCAGAGAGGGCTCTCGGTGGGGTGGTCCCAGGGCAGAGGGGTCCCGGGCTGGTCCCCAGGTAGGGGTCCCCAGGGTGGAGGGTCCCAGGTGGGGGTCCCCGGTGGGACGGCGCCAGGGCAGAGGGGCCGGGGGGGGGGTTCCCAGGCGGGGTTCCCAGAGGGGGTGTCCCCCCCGCGCCCCTCACCGGGACAATTGGCCTCGTCGGCGCCGTCGGGGCAGTGGCGGCGGCCGTCGCAGATGGCGGCGGGGGGCTGGCAGCCCCCCCCGGGGCACGGCAGGTGCCCCTCGGGGCAGGCGCAGCCGCTCTCGTCGCTCCCGTCGCCGCAGTCGTCGCGGCCGTCGCAGCGGTGGGGGTAGGGGACGCACCGGCCCCCCCCGCACCTGAACTGCCCCGGCCCGCAGCGGGGGGCGCAGCCTGCGGGGACGGGACCCCCAGGTGGGCGCGGACACCCCGACCTGGGGCACTGGCACCCCACGGGGCACAGGCGGCTCTCTGCTTCTGGGGGGCTCCCGAGCAGCGTCACTCCCAGGGTTGGGGGGCTCAGGGACCCTCAGTGTGGGGCACAGACCCCCAGGGTTGGGGGGCTCAGGGACCCCACTGTGGGGCACACACCTCAAGGCCTGCAGGGCTCTCTATTTCCCCAGGACCCCAAAACTCCCTGCAGCCCCCCACTCCCAGGACCCCCGAGCCCCCCGTGCTCACTCACCCGCCTCGTCCGAGTCGTCCCCGGGGGGACAATCGAGCCGCCCGTCGCAGACCCGCGCAGGGGGGAGGCAGCGACCCCCGGCACAGGCGAACTCGGGGGGGGCGCAGGCCCGGGGGGGACACCCCGCCTCGTCCCAGCCGTCGGGGCAGTGGGTGACACCGTCGCAGCGCGCCCCCCAGGGCAGGCAGCGCCCGCCGGGGCAGCGGGGCTGCTGGGGGGCGCAGGGGGGGTCGCACAGCTCGTCCGAGCCGTCCCCGCAGTCGTCCTCGTTGTCGCAGAGCCACGCCCCCGGCACGCAGAGACCCCCGCCCCGGCAGCGGAACTCCCACGGGGCGCAGCCGGGGGCGGCGGGACACGGGGCCGGGCTCGGGGGGCACTGCCAGCGCCCCCCCAGGCACGTGCTGAGGGCGGGGGACGGGCGGCACTCACACGGGGCCGGGGGTCCCGGTACCAGTGTCCCACCCCCCCCCGGTGCCCCGGCGTTCCGGTGTTCCCCTGTCCCAGTGTCAGTGTCCTGCGGTCCTGGGGTCCCAAATCTCAGTGTCTCTGTGTCCTGGTGTCCCAATGTCCTGGGAACCCAGGATCGTAAAATCCCATTTCCCCCGTGTCTCTGTGTCCCCATGTCCTGGTGTCCCGGTGTCCCCACATCCTGGTGTCCCTGTGTCCCCCCACCCCGCTGTCCCGGTGTCTCAGTGTCCCGGTGTCCCCCCACCCCGCTGTCCCGGTGTCTCAGTGTCCCGGTGTCCCCCCACCCCGCTGTCCCGGTGCCCCAGCAGGTCGTGCCCGGGCTCCCAGTACACACCAGTGCCTCACCAGTTGCTGCAGCCCTGGGTCACGGTGGTCCCGGCCGGGAAGGCGAAGCCGTCCCAAAAGCAGGGGCAGGCGGGGGGCTCCACGCACAGCCCGTCTGAGGGGGGGCACAGGGGTGGCACCGTGACCTCCCAGCCCCTCCCGGACCCCCCAGTCCTCTCCCGGTCCCCCCGTGCCCCCCAGGCCCCGGGCTCACGGCACAGCCCCTGGCTCCGCCAGCGCAGGGGTCTCCCCCGCCGGCCGCACTCCTCGGCGTAGGCGGCCAGGGCCGTGCACAGGCACTCGCAGTCCCCGCCGCTGTCACACCTGGGACACGCGCCGTGGGACAGGGCCCGGGAGCCCCCTGGGGCTTGGGGAGCCCCGAGCCCCCCGAATTTACCCGCAGGCGTCGAACAGGCACCACTCGTAGAAGCGCTGGGGGGGCACCAGGTCGTGGCAGGGGGCGAAGAGCCGGTGCCGCAGGACCCCGCAGCGAGCCCGCGCCCAGGCCGAGCGCTGGGGGCTGTCCTGGAGGGGACACCCCGTCAGACCCCCGTGTGCCCCGCGCGACACCCCGCCACCCCTGCGGCCACCGCCAGCCTCCCGTGCCCTCCTGTGCCCCCCACTGCCCCCCACAGCCCCCGGCATGGTCTGTGCAGCTCGGGCTGGGGGCTGTCCAGGAGGGGACACCCCGTCAGACCCCCCGTGTGTCCCCAGCCGGGCCCCCGCTGACTCCGTGTCCCCCCCATTGTCCCGGTTCAGGCAAACTCGCAGGGGTCAGTCAGCCCCCCCGGAGCGCCGGGGACGAGACCCCAGAGGATTTCAGCCGAGACTCAAACACCCCCTCATCCTCCTCCCGTCTGGGTTTGATCCTTCACCGACCTGGGCCATCACAGCCCCATGTCCTTTTGTAACCCCGATGTCCCCCTGCCAGGTCTTGTGTCCTCCAGTGTCCCCCTGCCAGCTCCTCCCTGTGTCCCCATCCAGTCCCCGTGTACCCCTGTCAATTCCCCACGTCTCCCCGTGTCACCGCCGTCCCCCCATGTCCCTAATGCCCCCTGTCCCCATGTCCCCCTGTCCCCGTACCTCGCAGGGGTGCGGGCGGTGGCCGTCGGCCTCGGGGCAGAGCGGGCTGAGGCGCCAGGAGTCCCCGAAGACCTCGGGGGTCGCCTCGAGGGCCCCGTCCGGGCTCCCGAAATCGTTCTCGGCGTCGCCGTCGAAGTTGCCGCAGAGCCCGGCCAGGCGGCCGCGCAGCCGCGGGGACACGCGCACGTACACGCGGGTCCCTGCGGGCACCGCGGCGGGCAGGGCTGGCACCGCGGACCAGCGGGACCCCCCCGAGGTGCCACCAGCACCGCGGACCCCGAGCGGCACCAGGGACCCCGCATGGTGACACCCCGTGCGGCACCAGGGACCCCGCATGGTGACACCACCTTGGTGGCACCGTGGAGCCCGACATGGTGACACCGCCTTGGTGGCACCGTGGAGCCCGACATGGTGACACCGCCGTGGCACCGCCAGCGCCAGGGATCCCCCACAGCCCCCAGCACTGCGGACCCCCAGCCGTGTCCCCCCGCGGTCCCAGCTCTGTCCCACAGCACGGCCACCCTCAAGGGTTCCCCAGGGACCCCCCCTGCCCCCTGTCCCCATGTCCCCCTGTCCCCGTACCTCGCAGGGGTGCGGGCGGTGGCCGTCGGCCTCGGGGCAGAGCGGGCTGAGGCGCCAGGAGTCCCCAAAGACCTCGGGGGTCGCCTCGAGGGCCCCGTCCGGGCTCCCGAAATCGTTCTCGGCGTCGCCGTCGAAGTTGCCGCAGAGCCCGGCCAGGCGGCCGCGCAGCCGCGGGGACACGCGCACGTACACGCGGGTCCCTGCGGGCACCGCGGCGGGCAGGGCTGGCACCGCGGACCAGCGGGACCCCCCCGAGGTGCCACCAGCACCGCGGACCCCGAGCGGCACCAGGGACCCCGCCATGGTGACCCCCCGTGCGGCACCAGGGACCCCGCATGGTGACACCCCGTGCGGCACCAGGGACCCCGCATGGTGACACCACCTTGGTGGCACCGTGGAGCCCGACATGGTGACACCGCCGTGGCACCGCCAGCGCCAGGGATCCCCCACAGCCCCCAGCACTGCGGACCCCCAGCCGTGTCCCCCCGCGGTCCCAGCTCTGTCCCACAGCACGGCCACCCTCAAGGGTTCCCCAGGGACCCCCCCTCTCCCCCCGGGGTCTCACCTCCGTCCCACAGCACGGCCACCCCCGTGTCCCCCCGTGTCCCCCGGTCTCACCTCCGTCCCACAGCACGGCCATCCCCAGAGACCCCCGCGCCCCCATCCCCCGGGGGTGTCACCCACCAGGAAGAGGGTCCCGGGGGGACACACGCAGCCGTCGGCGGGGCCGCCGCAGGTGCCGGAGGGCTCGGCGGGGTCGCAGCGGCGCAGGCAGGAGCCGGGGGCGTGCAGCAGCCCCGGGGGGCAGCGCGGGCCGGGGGGACACGGGGCGGGGGCGCAGCGCCACGACCCCCCTGCGCACACACTGCGGGGGGCGGGAGGGACCCCCGTCCGTGTCTGAGACCCCTCGGCGGGGTCCCCAGAACCCAAATCCCACCGAACCCCTCCCTGGGGTCCCCACCCCCATCTCCAGCAGCCTCCAACACTCTGAGCCCCCAAATCCCACAGAACCCCCCCAGGGTTCTCACCCCCATCTCCAGCACCCTCCAACTTCCGAGCCCCCTCATCGGTGCCCCCCAAGCCCCAGCCCTCACATTCCGCTGAGACCCCCATGGCACGGTCCCCATCTCCCACGCTCACCCCTCATGCCCCCCACAACGGGGTCTCTGCACCCCCATCCCCCCGGAGCCCACATGCCACCGAGGGCCCCTAACGGGGTCCCCCCCGCTCCCCGGTTTGCCGCGGCCCCGTCGCTGTCCCCACGGTGGGACAGGGGACGAAAGCCCCTCCGCCCCGCGGGGTGTCACACCGGGCTGAAGGGGTTTCATCACGTGTCACCGTCACCGCCACATTCTGCCTGGGGTCCCCCGTCCTGTGGGTGACCCTCCAGCACCCCGAACCTCCCCGCCACCCCCAGATTGCCCCGGGACCCACCAGGCCTGGCAGCCGCGGTGGATGCGGGCGCCGGGGGGGTACAGGCGGGCGCCGCGGGGACACGGGCAGGCGGCAGGGGGGACACACTGGCCCCCCTGGGCCAGCAGCAGCCCCGGGGGGCAGCGACAGCCGGGGACACAGAGGGTGTCCGGGGGGGGACAGTCACTGGCTCCGGGGGGCTCTGAGCAGGAACGGCCGCAGGGACCCCCACAGTCCAGGTACTGCTGCCCCCCGGGACACGGCTCGTCTGGGGGGACATGGGAGGGTCACCGGGGGGCAGACGTCACCTCACCCCATCCCCATCCTGTCCCGTCCCATCCCCATCCCATCCTGTCCCATCCCCATCCCATCCTGATACTAAACACACCCCATCCTGTCCCCATTCCCATTCCCATCCCATGCCATCCCATCCCATGCCATCCGTCCCGCTGGCTCACCCCGCGCGTCCCCGCTGTCCCACTCACCGTGCCGGCCATGGAGGGCTGGAGGGTGACGAAGGTGTCGGGGGTCCCCAGGCCCCAGAGCAGGTGGGCGTCGGGCAGCTGCAGGTGCAGGAAGGCCGAGGACGCGCGGCGGATGCTCAGCTCGGCACCGGAGAAGGGCAGCGTCACCTCCCGCCCGGCCACTGTCACCTCCCCTGAGGGCGACAGCAGTGGCTCCATGGGGCGGCCACCGGCATGGGGCCCATCGCCGTGGGAACATCAGGGACAGGCGCTGGAGTGGCTCCCGCTGCCACGGAGATTTGGGAACGGGCACTGGGATGTCACCCACCGCCGTGGGGACAGGGGGATGGGCACAGGGATGAGACCCGCTGCCACAGGGACACTGGCGACAGGCACTGGGGCGGCTGCCACAACACCACCAGGGTATGGGGATGATGCCGGTCCCGGTCCCTGTCCCTGTCCTGTCCAGGCGTGTCACCTGTGCCGTGCAGCCGGGCCGTGGTGCGGCTGGTGGTGACGGTGAGGCTGCGGGGACAGCCCAGGGGCCGGGGGCTGTCACACGGCTCGTGCTCGGCTGTGATCAGCAGCCGCCCCGCCACGAAGTCCTGGGGACAGAGACACGGTGACAGCCCCCGGCAGAGCCCTGCCACCACGGCCACCTCCCCATCACACCCCAGCCACCCCCACGGCCACCGCGGCCACCTCCCCGCCACCAGCACAACACCACGGCCACTACCAGAGCACCGCCCCGTCACCACTCGGCCACCGCCGATGTCCCCCGTGTCCCCTCACCTCCACCAGGGTGTGGGCGCAGGCGGCCGGCAGGGAGAAGCGGCGGCGGTCGAAGGTGACAAAGTGACGTCCCCCCAGCACCGCGCACTCGGCCGGGCACCGCTGCTGGTCACAGCGCCAGCGGCCACCCTCGCACGTGCTGGGGACACCGGGGACACCGGTCAGCGGGAGAGGGGGCGCCGGGGCGAAGGGGGGACACTGCAGGGGACCCCGGAGTAACGCGGGGACACCCTGGGGGACTCCAGACTGGGGGACACGTGGCAGGGGACACTGGGACAGCAGGGGACATCACAGAGAACATGGGATAAAGGGGAACACTCTGCAGGAACCCCAGGCTGAGGAGACACCATGGAGGACACCGGGAGGGAGGGGGGCACGCCAAAGGGGACCCTGCCCATCAGCTGGCTGCCCCGCAGTGGGTGCCAGCCCGGTGCCACCGCTGTCACCGCGGTGCCACCCACCAGCGGTTGCAGCGCTGGCGGATGCTCTGGCCGGGCTCGTAGCGCTGTCGCCGGTGGTGGCAGGGGCAGGCGGCCGGGAGGACACAGCGCGCCCCGTCCCGGGCCAGCCCCGGGCCGCACTCGCAGCCGCCGTGGCAGTGGCGGTGGCAGGTCCCCTGCTCGGCGCCGCCCGCGGTGACACAGGTGACCGGGCACAGGGACACGCAGTCGGAGAAGCGCTGCCCCGCGTCGCAGCGGCGCTCTGAGGAGAGGCGACACCGCGGTGGCACCGGCGGCACCGCGGGGGGTGGGTCGGGGAGGGGACACGCCAGTTCCTACCGCAGAAGCCGGGATGGCGCCAGGGGACATCGACCTGGCGGCGGGAGCACTCCCGGGCGTAGGCGGCGAAGGTGGCGCAGGCGGCGGAGGGCGGGGGACCGGG